ATTTCTTTCTTGTAGTCTTTGTATTGGTAACAATCTGTATTATATTTTTGTTGTATATGATTAATAGAAAGCTTCCTTGCTGTGTAAATAAATTAGATCTTTATTTTTTTGCACAGTGGTTATCTTTTAATATTTACACTATTGGCTAAATTCAGGTATAGACAAAGGGTTATAATCACTTATTACGTTTATAATCTGTATAGAACCAAGTAAATAAGTGTGGGTAGGAAAACCGCCAAAACAAGACCCTCCGGCAACCATCAATAATAGACCTGTCTCTCAACAGTAGATCCCTCCCAGCAATAAATAATCCCCCATCAGTAACAATAGACCTCCCCAGCAATAATAGATACCCCCCTCAACAGTAACACCCCCCAGCAACAATAGAAATCCCCCCCCCCAGCAGCCAGAATCAATAGACCCTCCAGCACCCCTTGCCATTAGATGCATTCAGTGCTACAGGTTCCAGAACTGCGTTCCCCTGCTGAAAAAATGCCCTGCTTCTACTGCTGTCTACACTTCTGAAGAAGATGGACTTTGGTAGAGTTGATATGTATTAGAGCAGTCCTAAAAACACTGGCATTCAAGGTGGAATTGTATGTTCCGATATTGGAGGGTGTGAGCAGACAGGTGGACATGAGTTGTCACATGGATATCTTATAATACTTGCAGCAGAAGAGGAAAAAAGACCACCCTCCCATATCTTTCTATAAAGTCATCATATAACAAAATATGAATATTAGAAACAGAACATCTTAAACTCAAACAATTTTACACCCATCAATACACAAACTGCTGACAATATATGAGGTGGACTCAACCGACAACGAGGGCCCAAAAAATCCTCTTTAAGCAAAAAAGGATGGTAAGAACTTTAATTGACTGGGAGAATATCCCCAGTCACCTCATCTATAATGGAAAAATAAAATAGAGCTATATAAATATAATTATAACCAAGTAGAAAGATTTGTATATGTATATAAAGATTAGGCAGTATCTTAATGAATACATACCATTATTTAAAGGAATACGGGGGGAAATAATCCAAGCTCCTAGGCAATTGTCCAGAAATGGTTCCCTCAGCCACCTAATGTTATACAAATACATGCAAAGAAGGAAATAAATCACCCAATCTTTCCCATTAGGCAACCATAGTAAATAATGGGAGAAAGAGACATCCATCTATGCTTATCACTCTATCCAATATCTTATGGATTACCGCCTCCATCAAACCAGCTGGTAACAAACTACAATTAGGTCTCCAAATATATTTCCACCTCACTATGGTCACTTTGTCTCTTTAAGGGTTTAATCAGATCCACCTGTGCCACCAATAGGAGATGTTGTGGCAACCGCCGCTATAGAACTCCCAATGGCATCCACCAATGTGGCCACCCCAGTACCCGTGAGGGAGAGAATCTCCCTCGGGGTCCGCCACCATACCCGTTGAAAATGCGTGACCTCATGACAACAGCATGAGACCGTACCTCACATCAGGCGTCAGTAGCTAAAACGTCTGAGGACAGTCCTAGGATTCCACCGGCAAGGAATATTGCCCTCTAGAGGCCCTAGAACAAAGAGCAATGCTCAGTTTGTGCCGCTGAAGGTCTGGGGTAGCAAAAAAGTGTGATGAAGCCCCAAAATGCCACCCTTCTCCTGTGCCGGATGCCCAAACAGAAAACTCACCAACCATACCAAAAACAATGCTACCTTGAACTCCATCTAAACAAACAAGTGTAGGTAAAAAAGTGTAATTGTCACAATATAAATGTAAATAAAACGGTGTGGTTTATCACATTACACGATGCAAACAACATGCCTATAATATACAAAATATACATAATACAACAACTTCTTAATGCTAACTCCTAATGCGCACGTGCAGGATTACGGGTGCTCCTTCTAGAGAGAGGGCGGAAGTATTATCATGCTGGAATCAGAAGAGAGTAGACAGTAAGGCGCACGGTATGGCTGGAAAAGTGACAAAATAATGAGCCTAAAAAAAAACCTTATTATAAACATTTTATTGGAAAATAACTTGGCGATGTGAATTATGAGTATTTGCCTGATCGCCCTTATGTTTTCTTAGGATTATGGTGGCTTACTACTGCTTTAAGGGGGCACAGTGATGGGAACATTTGGTTTAGGGGGGATGCTGATGGGGCCACCTGGTTTAAGGGGGCACAGGTTCTGTTTAATCATCCTAATCAAAGGACACCTTAATAAATACTCCTAGTGTTTCCCAGGTCATGACTCATGGTACACAAGTGTGCCTAGTGAACAGGATATATAGTTTTCCAGCATCTCTGTCACACATAATAAAAAAATGTTAAAAAAAAATATACCATATTGAGAATATTTAAAAAAAAATTTAGTATTTTTTTTTTTCAATTACTTGCCAACTGCTCACATTTTGAGGGTCAGTAAGCGCCCCACCCAGCTAGCGTTAGATTGCCTGCACACTATCGCACTCACGCTGTAGGTCGCTGATCACCGCCATTACTAGTATAGTGTTCAAGTGGATCAAGATATTGATCACGTAGAGAACTATACTAATGCCTCCTTTGTATAGTGTCCCCAAAAACGCAGAGTTAGCAGGATCACACCCGTTCGCTGCCAGCACTAGCGTTTAGCCCTCCGCTGTTATTCACGGAAGATTTGTATCAATTGATTGTGTACCAAAGCAATTTATATGCACAACAATACATCACCGCCCACCCAAATTCAGCTCTTGCCAGACAGTTTGCATGGAAACCTTTCACAGTTTCTGAATTTAAAACTCTTTTGGGCCTAACCCTCAACATGGGTATTACAAAAAAGAATGAATTGCGGTCATATTGATCCACAGAGCCAATTCATCCTACGCCTGTGTTCTCTGCTGTTACATATATGCCCAACATGACCCAGCAATATACTGGTACGTCACTGGACTTTGAGTGGTTATACCGGGATGATGCCTGCAGCTACAGGTATCATTCTGGTACCGTTTTTTTTCAGCTGGTGGTCGGTTTTCATGTAAAAGCAATCCTAGTGGCCAATTAGCTGCTGAATTGTTTTTATGAGCAGCGGGAAGGGACACCCCCCCACATGTGGTATCCCCATACTCGGAAGACGTAGGACAATGTGTTTTGGGGTGTTATTCCACATATCCACCAACGCCACCATCTCTCCCACCCCACACGCCAAAGTCCTGGGTGTCACCCTGGACTCCCACCTCTCCTTCCTACCCCACATCCAACTGCTATCTAGAATTTGCAGGCTCCACCTCTGCAACATCTCCAAGATACGCACATTCCTCACCCCAGACACCACCAAACAATTCGTACACTCCCTCATCATCTCACGACTGGACTATTGCAATTCCCTTCTCACTGGCCTACCCAAACGAGCGCTATCCCCACTCCAGTCGATCCTAAACTCAGCGGCTAGACTCATCCACCTCACCAACCGCTCCACATCTGCCTCCCCCCTCTGCCAATCCCTTCATTGGCTCCCGATTGCCCAACGCATCAAATTCAAACTGCTAAATCTGACCTACAAAGCCATTCACAATGCCGCCCCAAACTACATAACTGACCTGATACCCAAATACTACCCTACCCGTGCCCTTCGCTCCTCACAGGACCTCCTACTCTCTAGGTCCTTGGTCTCCTCCTCCCACGCCCGATTGCAGGACTTCTCCAGGACTTCCCCCATCCTCTGGAACTCCCTACCCCAATCCATCAGACTGTCGCCTACCTTCCTAACCTTCATGCGCACCCTGAAAACCAACTAACCTCCTCCACTCCTCCCGCCACTCCATCCCCCACAGCTATCTCCTCCTGTGCCACCTTCCCCTCCCTCTTAGATTGTAAGCTCGAAAGAGCAGGGCCCTCAAACCCCTCGTGTATTGTATTGTTTCTGTCTTGTCTCATGTCCTGTCCCCCTTGCTACTGTACAGCGCTGAGCATACCCTTTGGCGCTATATAAATACTGTATAATAATAATAATATATCCATGGCATGCATGAGCAATATGTCATTAAAGTGACAACTTTGTGTGAAAAAAATTTGTCATATTCAAAAAATTTGTGGCAAAAAATAAAATGTTGCATGGACTCAACATGCCTCTCTGCAAAATCCGTGGGGTGTCTACTTTCCAAAAATGGGTCATTTTGGGGGGTTTGTACTGCCCTGGCATTTTAGCACCCCAAGAAATGTGATAGGCAGTCAGAAAGTTACGTAAATTCCAATATATATACCATAGTTTGCAGAAGCTATAACTTTCACACAAACCAATTAATATACAGTACATGCATTGAGATTTTTTTTTTACCAAAGACATGTAGCAGAATACATTTTTGCCTAAATTTATGACTAACTTTGAGTTTATTGGATATTTTTTATAACCAAAAGTGAAAAATATAGTTTTTTTATACATTTTTGGAATTTTTTATTTATAGCGCAAAAAATAAAAACAGCGGAGGTAATCAAATACCACCAAAATTAAGCTGTATTTATGTGAAAAAGGACATAAATTTTGTTTGGTACAGCATTGTACGACCACTGAATTACCAGTTGAAATAGTGCAGTGCCGAACAGCAAAAAATGGCCTGGTCAACAAAAGGGGGGTAAATCCTCTAGAGGGCAAGTGGTTAAACACCAATGTCTGTGATGATGTTTACTTTACGTTTGATGTGCTTATGTAATTTTCAATAACAAGTATGTTTAACATTTCATAAAGGGTAGTGTCTGTGTGACAGGTTTATAGAGAGTCCATTTGAATGGCATAGATGTGTCCTTGATTAGTGTCTCATCATATCCCCACAATAATTAATTGTTAGGCCTTTTTTTAACTGCATGTCCTTGAAAAACCCTATTGAGTGTTTTGTTAATTTACTATATGCAATCTGTTTAAATACAAAGTACAAATTAATACACCACATTACACAAACTAAAAAAAATACATAAAACAGGATTGTTTACTCCAGCTTGACATGCTGGCATGAACAAGCCCTTTGACCTCCCTGGAGGTATTCCCGAGTGTAGCTCGGGGTAAAGTTTCAACACCACAAGCGGTAACCCCAAGCTACACTCGGGAATATCCTGCAGCGCTGCTCCGGGATCTCTTCTGCACTTACCTTGTCCTGCGCTCCCGCGATGTCCCTCCTGCAGTGTCCCCTGCAATGTCCTCCAGCCAATGCCAGCATCTGTCTTCTGGGTTCCGTTCACTGCGACGTCAGGACGTATGGGGACGGAACTGGCGGGAAATTTGAAAGTTGTAAAAGTGACATTCACTAAATTCACTAAAATAACATAGTAAAACATTACTGTATCAAACCATTTCACATACATTTTGTCCCTAGTGCTTTGTCCTGTGCCCTGCCTGCATTTTTACTGTTCTTTCTGCCTTGAAACTGAAAAATGTCGATGGCGTCCAAAAAGCGTCCCTTTAGGTCAAAAGCGGTTTTAGACCGGCTAGAGAACAGCGATAGTAAATTAGAACCACTTGCAGAATTGAGTGATAATGATTTGTGGGGAAATTCGTCATCAGACACTGAAAACGATTTTGCGACTTTTCTCAGTGATGTGCGAACTTGACGCTATATTTCAAAATTCAGTGTTTTTGGTTTGATTATATTATTGAATTACACATTTATTATTATTATTTTTTAATGATTATTTATTCAATTATAATTTATGATTTCATGTTTCAAATTTTAACATATACAGGATGTTTACTAGACTCTTGTTCGGACAGATTTCAGTGAGTTATTCCTAAAAATTACAGGCCTACAATAAAAAAAATACATATTTCTTTGCAAAAAAATGTACCGCTTTGAGCACAGAAATATGGACATAATCAGACCACTAGGGAGGTTAAGAAACAATGGACTTTGTCATGTACTTCTTTGAATCTGCGTTAATGACAATGAATCTGGCTTCTATATCAAGTAGTAGTTAATCACATTCATCTAATCTTGTAATGTTGGAGACATTTTCTACTTATCCAAGGAGCATTTTAGCAGCTGAGGAAGCCAACTGGATGAGTTGCAAAACTTTTTCAATATCACAAAAGAAGTCCAGAGGAATGTGGCTAACTACTACTCTTGAAACCATGACCTGGATAAATGAGAACCATCACAGACAATTATGTTTGTGATTGGAATGAGAAGTTATGTTATCATGTATTGGGTTTCCTGTGCTAAAAAATGATTTTTCTACAGAAATCTATTGCCAATAACTAACAGTTAAAACGGTGCCTTTATCTTATCAACACCTGCAAATGTATGAAATTGTTCCTCTAATTTTACTATAAATAGTAGACATCAACTTGCAGTTAAAATTGAAGAAGACTCATTACAGCAGGAATATATTCTTACTAAGGTATGCTAATATTATTTCATTCAATTTAATACTTTTTTTTACATTTGATTATTCATTCATTCAGAGGGAGAGGGGGATTTAAAAAAAGAGGGGGGGAAAGGGGGACAGCAAATCATCCCCCAAAATCCCCTCTCCCTCTCCCGCTGACCCCTCCCCCCCCCCCCCCAATTCAGTCTATCTTCTCTTTTTATTCACTGGCTGCCACTTCTCTTTCCTTGACCTTATACTTTCACTTTCATTTGACCCCCTCTAATCACCCCACAATTCCCACATTCTGCAGTTCTAAATTTTCAAAAAAGTCACTGAGTTCTTCTGGGAATCTTCCCATCTTTCCACCCGATCAGACATGCCGGGAATCCCCAATTGTATCTAATTCTTTTTACCCTCATCTGATCCAATAAGGGTTCCAATAATCTTCTTCTTGCTAATGTCTCAGAGGCAATGAAACTTGTAGTTTCATTTCTCCAATTTTTTTACACATTTTCTCTGTCCTCATACTGATGGAATCGCAAAATCACGTCTCTAGGGGTGTCTGATGTTACTCCTGGTGGACATCTTAATCTATGTATTCTCTCAATCTTCAGAGGATCTGTGGCTAATCTACCTGTCAATGGGTTAAACACTTTCTTTATTTTTTACCCGGAGGTCCTCTTCATGCGAATCTTCTGCAAGACCACTAATCCTTATATTATTTCTTCTCTCTATTTTCTTGGTCCTCCAATTTATATGACAGCTTCCTCTGTTCCCTTCGGATCTCCTCCAACTGCGTTTCCAGATTAGATACCTGCTGAGCCTGTGTCTCCATTTTCTCCTCCATTTTTTCCACCCTTGTTAACATTTGGCCAAGACCCTCATGAATCACCGCCATTTCATTTTTCATAGAAAGTTCCAGTTTTGAAAACGTTTCCGCCATCTCTATTTATGTTGGGATTTGTGATGTGGCTCCTTGTTGTTCCGAGACATTTTGATTGTTTACACTATTAATAGTTATAGATTAATAAATACAAATATTGTGCTCTGTATAGCAAATTCTAAAACATTAAACACACATATTCATTGTGAGATCACTCATACCTTTGAAAAAGTGATCAAAACAGTGAAAAAATATATATTAACAGTGACATATATAGTCCATGCAAAGGACAATAAAGTCTGTGTGAATATAGGGCTCCACAATCAATGAATGAAGCTAATCTCCAGTCCCATAAATGTGGTGTTGTTACTATGAATCCTGTTGCATCCAATTAATCACCAACAAGGTGCACCACTACCAAGTGAATAAATGGAGGCTTACCAGGTGCAAAGACCCCATAACTATAGGGGGTCTTTACCAGCATTGTGTTGTAAGATATCATCAAGATTTCCATCCCATATCAGAATCAAAGATCTCCCAAATCTCGGAAATCAGAATGTAAACTCCACAGGCATCAGTGAGTCTTCCCCATTGCGATACCAAAACAGTGTCATGGAAGATAAAGCATACCTCTCATAATGCAATATGTTTGATAAGCCTTTATTTTGGCAAATAAAATTCCTACTTACAAGCTTAGGAATAATAAAAAGCATTAAAAAAACTACTTCCAAAGATGGCCGACAGGGTGATGACATCAGAAGGAGGCTTCTTCAGACACATTTCATCATGAAAAGACGTCTTCCGGGGCTAGGGAGATTAGCTTCATTAATTGATTGTGGAGCCCTATATTCACACGGACTCACAATGATCTCACAATGAATATGTATATTTAATTTTTTTAGAATTTGTTATAAAGAGCTCAATATTTTTATTTATTATTGTATATGAGAAGAGAGGATATCCTCTTAAGTATTTGCAGCTTTGTATACTAGAAGAACTGCAAATTTGCACAGTTTAATTTGTTTGTGATAATTTTTGATAGATATCCATACTGACTGCAGCATTTCCGTATTTTATAATCCCATATAGATATACAGTATTTGAGTTTTGAGCCAACCTGACTGTCAAAGCGGAGGGTGTATTTATTAAAAACAGCCCAAATTGGGGATAACAGATAAGGGGGCATATTTATCAACCTTAAAAATGTGATGTTTTCTGAACTGCATATTAAATGGGAAATTGTATTCGTAGAGAAATACATAGCAAAAAAATGGTCCCACGTAGTCTTAGATGGGACGTTAGCCCCCAAAGGGGGAAGCTGAACTTAATGGAATGGTTTAAATATTTTAATTAGCTGGTGTAGGCTTTTTAATATTTTTGGTACAATGCAAGAAGAACAAACTGAAAATTTTAGATTCAGAAATTAGAGACCTTAAGGGTAAACTTACTCCCTACATGGGGGAAAATGAATATAGGGAATGCTCTACTAATTTAAGTAAGGCCCTGGAGAGGGAAGAAATTGAACACAAAAATAAAAAGAGGAAGAAATATAATAAAGGACATTATGCATTACCAGACTGAAATAGTGTTTGCATGGCAGAATAAGGTTGAAACACAAAATGGGGAGATGATGGAAAGTGAGGTGAGAAGGGAGGAACTGGGCCACATGGTAGTGATAGCTACCCTAGACATTTTTATCCTAAGAAACCAGTACCTTCTTTATATAGGGCCCATAATGAAAGGGAAGGCCCAAGGGGTCATCCATATTCAGGTGAGAGGAACCTTATAGGTCACCCCCTAGAGATGATTACAGGGAATACCCAGTCCCTAGAGGGAGGAGACCTTACAGGTCACCCCCCCAGAGAGTACCACCATTCCAGAGGCCGGGGTGGGTATCACCCATGTAGATCCCCTTACTCTTACCCTAGAGACACGAATGGCCATATGTATGGCCGTAGGGAAGATAACTATGCTCATTACAATGTAGCCACTAGCAATAGATTTGAAGCTATAAGGGAATCTTGTTCATTCAATTCCTTTTATCAGAATCATGATGAAAGTGGATCATATCAGGATTCCCCTAGGGTGGGAGGGGTGTGATAGGAATTATTCCACCTGTGGAAACCTTTTCCTCCACCCAATAGGAATCCCAATGATAGGAATTATACCTACACTCAACCTCAATATAGACTCCAACTAAGGGATTTTTATTGGGCCAACCAAGGAACAAAAAGACAGCAGAACAAGGAGAGGTAATAGAGGAAGGAGGAATCAACACCCAAAAAAAACAAGGGTTTAAACGGTAAGGGGGTTTATAACCTTAGTTCAAAACAATTAACTAAATCAGAGATCTCAATTCTCGATAAAGGACTTAATTATGTTCCCCCCAAGAGTTTGGACAGATTTCAAACCTTTATTGATGTACATAAATGCATACGCAAATTGAATATTAAGAGGCATTTTATATACCCCCAGGTCTAATCCCCATACTAACATCCAACATTCAGGCTTGAGCAATGCTTCGTTATTCAACCCCCCGGGTGGGATTCCATCGTCAGTAAAAGTATTTAGGGATGTGGTACTTAGGGACCTTGATAATCTTACTATTACTAAACCACAATTACAATATGATTTAGAGTTAGGCATACAACAATTGTGTAATGATAAGGAACTGGTGATCCGACCGGCGGATAAGGGCAGGGGGATCATTGTTCTTGATAAAAGTTCATATAATATAGAAATGGATAGGATCTTAGCTGAGAAGGATATTTATACAATATTGAAGAAGAACCCAGTTGGTTGTCTATAAGAAATCGTTAGAAAAAATGATTGATAGGGGATATGCACAGGGTATTTTGGATAAAAAAAAAAGTTTTTCTTATCCCATTAGCTCCTCGTGCCCCAGTTATATATTATTTCGCCAAAAGATCCATAAGGATATTAACAATCCTCCTGGATAAATGTATGGTAATTCAGTGAGCGCTCTATAAGCAGATAGCAGCTAGTACACTAAGGAAATATCACGAACCTTAAAATGCAAAATGAGAAGGTAAAGTGCAGCGCTAAAAGGATAATAAATGAGGTATATATGCACATAAAAAGTTCGATCAATATA